GGGAGGGAGTGAATGAGAACTGGAATGACAATTGCACAACATCATTGAAAAGAAATCTCCTGATGACTACTAAACTGAATATCTTACAAATGAGACCATGATATGTTCTCTAATAAATGAGGAAACCAACTATTTAGCACATCAGTATTTCAGCAATGCACTATAGGGTATATCATTGAAAACTATTTCCAGTTATTGGCTTGGAAATACCAGATGTGCTATTAACATATATTTTCACAGGTAGATCTCCATTTTTTTAATATCTATATAACGAATAGTTAACAATTACCTTCAAAATGACATGTTATTACCAGGCTCCTGGCAATTTAAAAACTAAAGATGGCTATTCTAAAACATTCTTCTAAGCCTGCAATTCTAAAACTCCCCTTTTCCATTAGAAAGCCCAGCACTCCATCATAGAAGACGAATGATTAAAGGAAATAAAACATAAGGCAATGTACTTTCTGATTACATCTCAACAATTGATGTCTTGCTTTCATGCAAGGTACTAAAGTGTCCGTGTACTGAAATTACCATTCCTGTTTAAAGCTGAAGCAATCAAAACAAAAATGGGCAAACCCCTTTTGTATTGCCCTGGAAAAATAGATCATTTTGAAGGGTGTTTTTGTTGTTTCAAGAATCTGTTTAACCTTCCATTACATAGAACCAGGGCATACCATCTAGCAACAATGATTTAACACCAATTCTTCTGCAAAAGATTGCTTTGAAAATATTTTGCTTATGTCCCTGGAAATCTTGATCAATTACTGCTGCCTCCCTTCCAGTTTATTCTGCCACACACACTCATTTTGAAAACAGAATCAAATGATTATAGGACAACACACATTCTTAACCTGAAGGCCAACTTCCTGCTAAGGATTCGGTATCTTGTTTGCAGTCAACAAAGAAATCCCACTGCAAATTTTCTCCCCTAAGTTTCTCTTTTCTCTATCTAAAAAGCAGTCTGTTGTGTAATAAGCTAAGCATACTTTTAAACACACTATTCATACCCTCCTGCTACCTCACTTAGAACTTCTTTTGAAGCTTATAAATAAAGTTGAAATAAAAATTCCCTTGGAAGCCAGTGGTGGTGCTTTATACTGATTTCAAAGAAGAAACCATTTTTCAGACTTATGAACAACAGGGACATAATACATATTTCTCTTAGGACTTGACTGAGAGGATATAAACACCAACTGGGAGATATGCCAGTGTGATCAATGGAAATTTATTTCCACTCCCAGTAAAACCATTTGTTGACACACCTCTGGCCTATCTTAGAGGCCAAGTTAAAGGAAATTCTTCATCCATTTCAGAGAGATGACAATACCCAATTAGTACTCTGGATTGTTCTTTGTAATGATTTTTAACACTCAACTGGCAGGAAACACTAGGGGATACATTTCAAGTAAAGAATATACTATAACAAATAGCTTTGTAACAGATGATTCATGTACACATTTTTATTTCACATAATTTTAAAGAACTGATTTATCCTAAAAGGAATGAATATGCACTCTCCATAATCACTAAGAAGATGTATTTTTAAGGAATAATATTGAAAAACACAAGTTCTTGGTGTTTCTTTATCTCAGTGAAAGTAGGAACCATCTACATATATCAGGCATAATATTAGGAAACAATTCTCTACAACCAATGGTTAATTGTCAGGTAAATATAATTGCTGAAACTGAAATGACAAATGGTCTCAAAACACTGCCTACTAGAAACTACACACTGCATAATGATTGTGGAGCCAAAGAAAAACTGAAGAATTGGATGGCAGCAGACATCCAATCCAATTAAAAGTTTCTTTTTAACCAGTGAGAGGAAACTGGGGGAAGATAGATTCTTGTTTCTAATCTGCTGCCACAGATCAAAAAGCAGGGTGCCTAAAGAGTTAGGCTTTTTCTAGAAACAAGAGGGGTGGGGGAATGTTGCTCTTGCCTTACTCAGTCAGAAAAGACTATGACCTGAGGGGGAAAGAGCATTGCTTTCTAAGTTGGTCTTCCCAAAGCTGTTCCCTCACACTTATCATTCCTGCTTCTAAACCTTCCTTTGTTGGTGGGATTTAGATTTTGAAAACATCCCAAGAGAGGTGTTCATGTCCAAAGTCAGGTTGAAAGGCAATGGCAGAGCTGGCTTCAGATCTGATCCTGTCAAGTGTTATCAGTTCTTGGTTAGAAATACAATGTGCCTGCAAATGAGATGATAAAATGAACAAACCTTCTTTAAAACAAACAAACAAGCAAACAAAAAACTAACAAATGTAAGCTTTCTTTCTCAGAATATAATTTTCAGAAAGAGACAGAAAGCAGATTTAGTGGGGCTGGGATAAGCACAAGGAATCATTCTGGGGTGATAAAAATATTCTCAAACTGTGTTGTGATGGTTGCACAACTCTACAGTTTACTAAAAATCAATGAAGTGTACACTTAAACTGGGTGAAGTTTATGGTGCATAAATTACACTTCCGTAAAGACGTTAAAAAGATTCTCAGCAATAAGTTGGCACCTGTTACCTAAAAATTAATTATTGGAGAATAAGGGGTGTAGAAAACACATTTGTGGAAATAGGGGGAGATAAAGACAACTTTCTGAATGGCTCCCCTCTTTTCTGAATTTTTAAGCTGTGTGAAGCAAATAGTAAGAGGATACAGGACTGGGAGCACACAGCTGGAGGCTGGCTCCATTGAGGTCATTTCCCACTGTGTATTTAATGTCAATGACAGGCATTTGAAAGAGACAATCCATGCAAGCCAATAAATGTGAGTGGAAAAGAAACGGCTGCTTAAAATGTCAAACTCTTCCAAATCAAAACAAAAAACCTAATAATTTAATAAGTGGCATCTGTCATTTCATTTTTGTACTTTAAAAACTGTGATTCTCCTTTTGACAACAGAAAAAAGTTGACATTTTATATCTGTGACTGAATCTTTGCTCTTAAAAAGTAAACAACTTGAAATGGAATTTAGAATCCTTGAGGGGGAGGAAGGAGTTAGAGTGGGGGCATACAGCAACGGACTCATTCACCTTCAGGATCCCACACTGGGACTGTGGTAGGTGGTCTCATTCCACTGCTGAAGCAAACCTGGTTAGCTTTGCCAATCAAAATTTCCCAGCCTATGTGGCTGTTGGGCTCAGTTGATCCAACAACGGTGCACAGGAAGTAAGATCCTAAGTGTAATTATAAAATGGATTGCTTAGCCTTGGCTAGCTCCTGGCCTTACAAGATACCCGGATATTAGCCAGCTGTTCCACAACGGTAAGATGGGTACAAAGATGGCTGACTCAAGGAATGGCGCTACCTCAATCCATTCCCATCCCCAATTCTGGACAAATAACTCAAAGTACATATTCTACTGAAGGCTGTTCAGAATCTGCCTCTTTAGATGGAAAGGAATATGATTTTCAGTGAAAACTTACCAACAGATGTTCAAATGAAAGCTGGATTAAAGCACCAATGATTAGTTTCCCAGTAGGATGCAGGGTAGCAAAATCAGTTTCTTTGAGAGACACATGGGCTCAAGGGCCACCTGCGGCCCCTTCTCCTGATTTATTTGATATTTATATTACAAACTAAGAGAAAGTAACAGCAGGAAATGTAATTCAAAGAAGGCAAAGACCCCGTTGAGAGTGTCTTGTTCTCATTGCTTTTTCCTGTTTTCCTAACTCCAGGACTTAGAAGACTTAAAACTAAGTGAATTCCAGGACTATACTCTTTTCCCAGACTCTTTCACTTGCTTCCCCTGTCTTCCCCCTACCTCTTTTTTTCTTTTATCCATTACTGTCCCTTTATTTCTAGCTTCTTCTTGGAGATACTGACATTTGTGTAGGTAAACAACTATTGTGTAGGAGAAAGAGAATAGGGTTCTAGCCACTAACTAACTGTGCAATGTTGGGGAATGTCATGTGACCATCAAGCCTCAGATTCTTGATCTTTTAAATTAGGTTAATACCACATTACAGGGTTGCTGTGGTTTTTTAAAGATTCTATTGGGCAATTGTGAGAGGGGAACAGCATTGAGGAATTGGGGAACAGACAAGTTGTCCTTTTGTTCTTCAGTCTAGTTGTGGAGGATGTCGCTTCACTGGCCCATGATGGTATTGTGATCATTGCGCTCTTTCTGGGTGAGGCAGTCACTCTCCGGCCATTGGATGGCGGCTCACAGTGGCTCATGGCAGCTCACACCAGCTGCTGGCTGCTCACGCTGACTGCCAGCCACTCACGGTAGTTTATAGCCGCCCACTGCAGCCCCTCTGCAGCCTACACTATCACCGGTTACTCATGGCAGGCCAGCTCCAGGTTGAGCTGTTGTTCACCATCTTAGCTGTAGAGGGTGCAGTGTTACTGGCCCTTATGTGGGATCCGAACTGGGGCCCTGCTGCTCAGAGCTGGCATCCCAAGCCAACTCTTGACCAGCGTGCCACTTGGCTGACTCCAGGGTTGCTGTGCTTAAAATGGGACAGAATTCACTAAAGCCCTCTAGTACATAGATGGTTCATTAATTCTAAAATGAGCATTTTGCTTCACATTTTAATATTTCTGAAATTAGTATGTATCCTACAATCAATGCATGTCATAGTTTAATTGGAAGTGTTTTCCATAAAATAATGGAGTACTTATAATTGATGGTGTCTTAGATTATATTTATATAATATAATATTTAATATGTCAGTTATTCTACCCTTTAAAAGTTGGTTACAATGTCAGATAAACTGGTTAATCACCTGGGATAGCACAATAATGATAATAAAATCCAGTTTCATATAACTGTGATGAAGAGCTCTCACTGTACTAGCAGTAATTGGAAATCAGATTATTGTATTTGAAAGGAAATATACTAAATGGTCATCTCCAGATGGTGGACTTATAAGCAATTTTTTCCTTGTAATTTTCCAAATTTTCTACAATGAATATGTATTACATATGTATGTATATATATGTGTGTGTATAGCATTAGGAAAACAGTATTAATGAATATTTTAAAAGCTGCTTACCACTTTGAGGATTCAAAATATGATGCTTATTCAACGACCAGCCTCCTAGGTTAGAAGCATCCATCTCAAAACCTTGTAAAATGACTGTCCTTTTCTCCCAGAGGATAAAGTCAGGGCAAGTTTCATATTCATATCCCACAGATACTGCAAACAAAGAGTTAATAATATATCAGAAAAATTTAAAGTATATTTTTTTAAATTTTTACTCTGGTTAATAATTCTGTGGATGTTATATTTGGTACTGAATCCTGATTTGGGTTGAAATTTGACTGCAAATTCCTTTCACCTAGCACAGTACAACATAGTACCTAGCATTGCATTGGGTATCCAAAAGTGATCAGTCAGTGCATATTGGGTAAATACATGAATGAGGGCTGTCAATAGGTATGTACCATATGTTTATAGACTTTAAGCTTTTGTATGGGCTTTTGGATTGGAGGCTCTGTTGTAAAATTGAAGAAATAAGCTCTCTGAGGGCTTAAGCTGTGGTGACATAATTTCTTTCTTTTCCTTTGTAGAAGAAGTGCAAGAAGGGCTGGTTTCTTTTCTCTACAGAGTGCAAAACACACTTAGGAAGCTGACTTTGGGGTACTGAGTCACTTATATAACAAATGGCTACAAATAAGTCTAATAAAAATAGATTTGCTTACTTTATATTTTCTTCTGAAGTAACTGGGCTTTAATTTGTCGAGAAGTCTGAGTTTGCTTAGAGTGTCTCAAGTGCTGCCAGTGTAAATTCCACGTTGTGCACATTATATTTTGGTTTCTGCATAGAGTTAACTAATGGGGCATCACCCAACATTTGGCTTCAACTCTGATGAAGCACAGATATTGTGCATTAAACTTGGAACCCTGGTATGCCACTAAAATGGGAAGTGCCCAATGTGGTAGCTTGGGTGCCTCTGCCCTACTGAAACATGTGTAGCTCAAGTATACCAAGTCCCAGCCATTGTCTCACTTGGTAAACCTACTTACCTGTTGGAACCCCAGATTTCAATTTTTGAATTTAAAATGCTTTTTGTCCTCATAATGTTCAAAAGCTGAGACTATTGGCTCATTACATTGCATACCCCGAAGCTTCTTTTCCCCTTCCTGGAAGATTAAAATATGCCTAGCTGGTCGACTGCCATTGCTTTTGAGTACCTGCTTCTACCTGACTCTTTAGATGCCCCTGGAGAACTCCTTCTTTTATCATTTGGTTATGAAAACTGGTAATGAATATGTGTGCTTAAACAATGCCAACACAGTAGATCCAAGATGAAAAATTAAAGCAAGCTAGTTTTCTTTTGGCATTAGATGAAGGGAAAAGAGGGTATTTTTAGTTAAACTGATTTATGTGTGCATGTGTGTGTGTGTGTGAGAGAGAGCACATGCACAAATAAGCCAAAAAGTCCTTATGATTATAAATATACAACTCTAACTTTGTGGATCATCTGTAGTCGATATTAAATCACAGACTGGCTTATTTTTGTCCCCTGTTCCACCAAAGCTTTAAGAGGGATCAAGGCCATCTTCATGGATGCGTGACTTCTTCAGTTTCACAGGGGCCCATGCTTAGATGGGCCCCATATTTGGTTTAATGGTCTGCTGTCACTGTCTTGAAATCCTTAGTAACATTTTAATAGGAAGCTTCGTATTTTCATTTAACACTAGGACTTGCAGATTATGTAGCTGGTCCTGACAGGGATGCCCTTCTACCCTGCCATCAGCTGGTGAAGGCTCATGAAATGCAAACTCATTCTACTAGTAGCCCTAACCAAGCATTATTAATAAGGGAGATCAGTGGGGAATGGGATATACTAATAATGAAATGGAAATAATTTCTAAATAGAAATTAGTCTGGGATCATCTGTGTCAATGCTGTTCTCTATTAAGGTGGATGGAAACACAGAATTTCAGTGATGAAAAGGATCTCAAAGGTAATCTAGGTTACACGCATGACACAAATCATTACTATCTAAAATCTCTTGATATCTTATTATGACCGAGTGCTTGCTAAAACAACGCTGGTATAGTGGACAGAGTTGGTTTCAGGTCCAGAATCAGAAAACACTTCAACTCTTGCACCTGCAATTAGCTACCTGTGTGGTCTTGGGCAAATTATTTTCCATCTCTGGGAGTCATGTCCTTCATTGGTAAAAAATTGAGAGGTGGGAGGTGGAAGATGGACTAAAATTGGTGGTTCTTAGACTCTTTTGGGTCAGGGAACATTTTATTTATCATGAATTTGATAAAAGTTATAGATCTTCCTAAAAAAGTGGATACACACACAAAATTTTGAATATAATTCTAAGGGTTGCTCACTGACCCCTTGAAATAAAGATCTTAGATCAAAGATGTCTGTACTAGGTAATTCTTAAAATCCTCCTTTAGCACTAAAACTATGATTCTAAAGTGCATTCTTGAAGATTGCATTTGATCAGTTCAAGTTGAGGAATCAAAACTAAAAGTCAAAGATAGCACTGTATCTCATATTTGAAAAATCACGTGGTGAGAAAGCACACTTAGGGCTATCTTGGTGTGTAGAATAACAGTTTCTGCTTCTCTTGCCAATATTTTTACTCACATGTCTTTATTGATAAATAATCACAGCAGCAATGATTCCAACTTCCCTTAAAGCCATCATCTCCTTCCCTACCATTGCGAGGATCTGTCTTTTGTACATTGTAAGCCTGGTGAACTCCCCTACAATCCCTTTTCCATAAGGTGACTGTGCAGTTTTGTGAATCAGTAATATGCCCTGGTGGCCTCCAAAGGTGGTTTTGAGCCTGATTTTCCACTCTCAGTGAGAGTTTAAGATCTTCCCAACTCTGTGGCAGGAAATGCCAACATAAAGCATCAATTAAAGAGTTCTTGATGCAATGGTAATAAGACACACTCATTTCACCTCCTCATATCTGTTTTCTGAATTGCTCTCTAGTCCACAACAAAAAAGTGCATTGGCTGCACAAACTACAATTATATTATTTCCCCCCTAGTCACAGCAGATAGCAAAAAGACAATAAGTTCCTATTAAATTTTATTAGATTTACTTTTTCTTGAGAAAGCTTTATGATTTAATAAATTGATAATTTATACTTAAAACTTGTCCAAAATTCCAACTGACTTTAATAAGAATGACTGTGTGTCAGGGTTTTTTTGTATGTGGCTCCTTGTTCAGAGTAAAAAGGCAAGGTTTCTTTCTGACAGCAGCCTACTTCAACATAATCCTAGAACTTGCAATTGGCTTATGAGAAGGCAGACGTTTCACCCCACAAAGTTGAGCTGCTCTCCAAATACAGTAGCAACCAATCCTAGACTTCTTCTCATAGAAGCAGACTGTAATGCACTAAATGCCTACTATTTATCATGTAATTAAATATGAGGGGAAAAGGGCTACTCAGGGGCTGGCACTGAAAACATTGAACACTGGCATTACACGTTTCCTGGTACTGTGACAATGGAGTCTAAGTTAAATAAGCAGGCTGGACCACTCCCATTTCCCAGGCAGCCTGTTGCCTGTCATGTTTGTTCATCAACAGAGCATAGTATAGGCCACAGATCCTGTCTCTGGCACTCTGGAGTGAGGACCAGGAAGAGTAGTGTAATAGGAAGAAAAAAAATTATTCATCAACATTTTAGAGAGCTATAGAATATAGGCTAGTCTGGCAATGAATGGTAATAGGTGGGGAAAGGGGGTCCTGGAGTACATTTTCCAGGGGCTGGCATAGTGGGTCACATGCTGGTGTATATATATATATATTGGGAAGACAGTTGACAAAAAGTCATTAATATGGCAGAATATTTTCTCGGAACCATGTGACTGCCTCTCTTGTGGCACCCTTAATTCCTTCTGGATTTCTGTCTTCCGGGATTCTCTCTGTCACCTCCACAGAGATAGTAATAAAATGTTTCTTAACCAAGAGTCATTGACTGTCAAGAAAAGCTGGTTACTTTTGCAAAGGACTCTGTCTTCTGGTCACAGGATTGCATCTCTGACGTCACTGTTAGTCATCTTGCAAATATTATATTGGTTTATGAACAAAGACCACAGCTTCCTCTCCCAAAGCCATTTGACATTAGAAAAATCACTGAGCGCTCATTCTATTTATCATAGCAGTAACATTTGTATGATGTGGAAACTACAAGAAGGCTGAGACTCACAGAGCCCCTGACACCAAATTTAGTTACTGTGACATTCACGTATAAGGGCTGGGATAGGAGAGTGACATAAAGTAGCCAAGGTAAAGATGCCATTCAATGAAGCTAATGTGTGAAATATGACAAGATTAAGCAAATGATTTTCAACAGCTTCAGGCTAAGGCTTCAGAATTCATAATAGTTGCATTTATGAAGGCAATATATAATTAAAAGTAGTCTGATAGTGTGAGAAATTTACATGTTACCTTCCTGAACTCAAGGAACATCTAAAAATAATTTTATGACATTTAAAAAGTAACTAACAACAAGACCAAAACCTTATCCAAAAGGAATAATTAAATACAACAATAAATATTTCCATTCTTTGAAAATGCTAGATTAAGGCAGAACAGCAAAAAAACAAAAAATAAAAGATCTAAAGAACCAAATGCAGGCCATGGCAACAACAGACCAAGACTATGTAGATAAAATGCTATCTACTGATATAAGGGTAACACTGTATTTTCTATTTTTAAGATTTAACACTTTAGCTTAGTTCAATTTAACAATGTAATATAGTTTAAAACGTTTTTTTTTCCATTTATTTACTTCCCTCCCCTCCTACTGGGTTTAATGACCCTGTTTTCTCAAGGCTGCATGCATACCTCATTAATCTGTTTAACCTCCAGAACACTGAGTTGAAAAAAACTGTTTCAGGGCCTGCCGAGTGGCACGATGGTTAAGAACTGGCTTGGGACGACAGAGGGCCCCAGTTCGGATCCCACATATGAGGGCCAGTGACACTGCCCTCCACAGCTAAGATGCTGAACAACAGCTCAACCTGGAGCTGGGCTGCCATGAGTCGCCAGCCACGGCGTAGGCTGCAGCCCCTGTGGCAGTGGTTTGCCATGGGCTACGGTGTGTAGCCAGCAGCCAGCGTGAGCGGCCAGCAGCCGCAGTGAGCGGCCGTCCAGAAGCCGGCGACTGATCTGCCTCGCCCGGGAAGTGCGCAATGATGGTGCCAA